ATCGCGTGCTTCTTAGCGTTAACTCACCCTAATAAGACGCCTTCACTGCAGGCGAGCGAACCCCCCCCCAGCCTACACCATGATCTGTCGTCAAAAGTTGTGGGAAAAAATACGAACTAAAAGGCAAATATATTTTTTCCATCACTCTTATGATCCCCTAAATCTATGGACCATCAAATGTAAGTGCAAATATGAAAAGCTTGGATTGGCCATTTAGCGGGGCAGATAGAGATGAATATTTTGCGTAATCTTTAGCTTGAAAATGTTTTTTTTAATGAAAATTGGTGAGTATTTCAAGGGAAGAGTGCATTCATTTATCGCATACCTCGACTTCTCAGATATCGGCTGACTTTATTTAACGTTTGACGGTAAAACTCTTGCATTTTTGACGGTTAACGGTTAATCCTATTGAGGCCATCATGTGGTGCTGTAGAATGCTGTTTTATTTCAGACGAGTAAGTATGTTTAAGAAGGAGATTGGGTCATATAATCACGTTGGTTAGTGTTATTACATTATCACTGGGAAAGAACATGATATGGATACTTTGTAGCTATTAAAAAACCCAAAACAGTCCAATAGAAGTCATGACGGTCGGGTAAAAATCCATGGTTTCACTTTTTTACGGGTATGTCATTCAAGATTTATAATTGTTTTTTTTAGACTTTTCAAAATGGATTTAAATAGCAAATATTACCATTCAAAATATGTTTTTTTTAATTCAGAACATTTTGCCGGGATTGTCCTTCATCGGCTTTCGTACCAAAACAAAGAAAAGAAAAACAAGCACACGTCATTCTTTTGCTGTACCACAAATCCTTCGTTGACTAAGCTTTTTCGGTCAAGATCGCCTTATTCTTTTTCTGCGTTTTTTATGTCACCTCAAGTTTGTCCAAAAGAGAGTTTTCAGTAACAATTCACAGTTTTCAGTAACAATTCACAGTTTTCAGTAACAATTCACAGTTTTCAGTAACAATTCACAGTTTTCTTTTATGGTGACGCCAGTAAGCCGTGATATTTCCCTCAGAAAGCGAAACACCTCGTCGATGCTTGTAATTATTCCTTTCGTGCCTCTTTCAATAACTAGTTTTTATGGCATCTTACGCATTTAAAAAAAGGAAAGTTTGACACGAGCAACATGTGTCTGACCGTTTCATTTTCCTGTTTCAGTTTTCTGTGTGGTTTAGAAAATGGTGACGTGCAAAAAAAAAATCATTGACAGCCGTAATTTTACAAAGAGTAAAAATTGTGTTTTTCTATAAATAAAAATAAATCTGAAAGAGTGAGCAACCGCAAGAGACAACCGGATGTCCACAATATAAGCTTTCGCCTGAAATCGATTTTCATCCAAACGAAAACAGTGAAAGTATAAACAGTAATAAAACGATGGAGTGTTGCAAGAAGTTATTTGGACCAAAAACATTCAACAAAATTAGCCATGTCACAGTTTTAAGCTGGATCCCTATTGGTATAATCTTCCTTGGCATTTTTGCCCACATGGAAAACACCGAATTGAAGTCTGATTTCCACTGTGATGGACCGGAGAGAGAAAACGTACATTTCGATGTAGGAAGATGTTTCGATAAATACGAGACTCAGTACAACAAATACAGTGTTCCTACCACTGGCTTCGTGATTACCAATTTCCTCTTTATTGGAATTGTTTGTATTATGTACACTCAAGTGGTGAGGACTACAATCGATCAATTGTCACAAAGCATTCGTGACGATGATCTCGAGAGACTGTCGCGCGACGGAGAGAACCCTAAATCAACTGGATACCAGCTTTGTATCGCTTACTGTTGTCAACTATCCACAAGACTTGTTTTAGGAGCGCTTTTCATGATCCTACAAACTCAGGTGCTTTATCCCTCAAAGTTCTCCTTTAAGTTTGACTGTAATGTAACTGCAGTGGTAACCAATCAGCCAGTGAATCCATCTGACGCCAACCAAAGCTTTACCCTTTACGATTGTAACAATCAACAGGCAAGCAAGAAAACTTTCTGGTTGTACGGTGTCCTTGTAGTGAATGGAATTTTTGTCCTTTTCATTCTGGTCGAAATCATCTATATTTTGGCACGGGCATTGAAAGAATGGAGTTTCTTGCAAAACTCAAACTTTCTTAAAGCACATCTCAATCCCTCCCGTGGTAAGTTACACGAAAAACCTAAAAAGCCAAAAGGGAAAAACAAACATGAAACTTTTCCCCTACAGCCAAGAGAGCCTGAACATCTTCCTACCCAAGGCGATTTGAACGAAAATCCTGAACAGAAGGAAGGAGGAGACGAACATGGAACTGTTCTCCTGCAGCCAGAAGAGCATGAGGGTCAACCGCCCCGATGCGAGTTGAACGAAAAACCTGAACAGAAAGAAGGAGGAAAAGAACATGAAACTATTCCAGGAGAGCATGAACGTCAACCGCCCCGAGCCGAGTTGAACGAAAAACCTGAACAGAAAGAAGGAGGAAAAGAACATGAAACTGTTCCAGGAGAGCATGAACGTCAACCGCCCCGAGCCGAGTTGAACGAAAAACCTGAGCGGAAAGATGGAAGACAAGAACATGAAACTGCTACCCCACAGTCAGTAGAGCATGAACGCCAACTGCCCCAAGGCGAATTGCACGATAAACCTGAGCAGAAACAAGGAGAAGAAGAACATGAAACTGTTCCAGGAGAGCATGAAGGCCAACCGTCTCAGGGCCCGTTGAACGAAACACCTGAACAAACAAAAGGAGGCGACGAACATGAAATTGCTCCCTTACAGCCAGGAGAGCATGAAGTTCAACCGTCCCAAGGCGAGTTGAACGAAAAACCTGAGCGGAAAGAAGGTAGAGAAGAACATGAAACTGTTCCAGGAGAGCATGAAGGCCAATCGTCCCACGGCGGATTGAAAGAAAGACCTGAACAAACAGAAGGAGGCGACGAACATGAAACTGCTCCCCTACAGCCAGGAGAGCTTGAAGGTCAACCGTCCCAAGGCAAGTTGGACGAAAAATCTGATCAGAGAGAAGGAGAAGACAGAACATAAAACTTTTTGACATCTGCAGAGTGAGCATTGATAGCTCTGGTCTGCACAGCAGTTATAAATGCATGGCGAGCGAGCGCTAAATATTTGGACGGAATATTGCTCTACCACACTGTGAGCTTGGTAAGATCGCGGAAAGCAAAGAACAAAATAATCAACTAATAATAATAATAATAATAATGACCTTTATTGGTATACTTCCACATAGTGGCTCTTCGCTACTAATATAAAAACTAACTATATACATAATACTTACAATAAATCAAAATTGATAAAATAGTGAATAATAAAAACTATACTAGATTATCTATTGCATGTCAGTAAGTGTCTCTTAAGATTTATACAAAAAAGTGCATGGTCACTGCAATTCCTTAGCTCCGCAGGAAGCTTATTAAAAGCTCCTGCAGCTTGATCTTGTAGGGTGTTCTTCTCAATTTTGTTGGCAAGTTCTAATTTTGGTGCAGCTAATAACCTAAGACTATAAGACTACCGGGAGGGAGGGGTCATTTCCGACCCTGTCATTTCCGACCCTGTCCCTCAGTAGTCCCTCATTTTCACCAGCACCTTCCTAATCCATCTCCTAGCTTGTTCTTACCAGTCTCTCCTCGATCCTGCCAAGGTATGAGAAGACTGCTCACCACTGTGAAAGGAACTTAAGTCACTTATTCAAAACCACCCCTGCAATCATAGGAAACGAGCGGTGAATTTTATTTTAATAATTTATATCGTTTTTGCTTTGGTCTTTGTCTCTAGTAATGACCCATTTTTTAAAATGTGAGTGGTTGATTTTACTCAATCAATTTCGGTAACGCTGTTGCGTTACTCAGTTCATTGAACCGGGTAACACAAAAACCAGAAATGGATTTGGTGAAATCCACAAATCACAGAGGAACAACCAAAGTTTTTGTCTCAAGCATTTCTTAAATTTTCAACTAAGTTGGAACCCTGTCACAAAGTAATGAGAGAGGCAGGTAAATAGTGCTCGTGAGAAACAGTTAATCAGATTCTGTCTTATTTTTAACTAGTATTATAAACTTTTGTAATCGCAATTGAACATAAACCAGTTTTATTACTTAAAGTGCTCGATAAATTTTTAATTTATTCCTGGAGAAAAAATTACTTTTATCGTAGGGATGGGATTAGGAGTGCTCTAGCAGTACAAATTTCAAGCATCGAAAAAGTAATTCTGAGAAAAAGATGACGATAAAAAAGTCCCTGGAGAAACTCCTGCACCGACAACGAATTTTTGAGAATTGGAAAATGAAGTGAGGCTTTCTCGTTTTCTTCATTTCCAGTCTCTCTCTACTCCTTCTGTCCTCTTTCTGTCTCCTAATCTAGGTCACATTCTTGCCTCCCGAAAGCTCTTTCACACAGAAGTTCTCTTGACTGCGGCATGCTCAGTAGGTTTGCCAACAGTTCCAGTTCATCCACGAAATCTTCGGAATATATTTTGTTGGCAAATTTCAGCAAACGTGGACATTGACTTCGGATAAAGTAACGTGTGCATAATTTCCATTGAAAATAGGTGTAATGTTTCTCCCTGGGCGGGGTTTGAATCTGCGGAGGCGGAGGTATGTAGGGTCGAAGAAGCCCTAAAATACCCTTCAGGTAGTCAATGATAAAAGTTACTATTTCATATTCACTTTGCTGAAAGCGTTCCTCTTCTCGAGCCTCCGTGAACCCGATTGTGATTATTGTTAGAATGATATTCAAGATAAAGAAAACGTTCACACATGTGAACGTATAGGTGAATATCGGTCCCACTTCACTGGTAACAGCCTGACCGGGTGATAATAACCGGAAGCTGAACTTCCCCAACAACATGGCGATCATACTGTGAAATGTTGCAGTGAAGGTACTGAAAATCTCGGCAACAGTCTTGAGCATACTGTAGGCCCAATAGGTGAAGCACATAATACTTACGAAGAAAACAAAAGCGAAACCAGAAATGTCTCCTCGAATCCTGGACAGTGTATTGTAAAATATCATGAAGCTCTTGTTAAACTTGAGAAACTTTAAGAACTGTATTGTGGGGATAAGGACGATCAAACATGAGAAGTATGCAATGTAATCATCGTAAAAAGCTACTGTTAGAAAGCCGTAAAACGTGTCCGGATTTTGGCGAAGTGCTTCAATAGCGTGGTTCAGGTGGCTTGCACGGCATGCGTATAAAGCGATAGTCACCAGCGAGAATAGGATGAGGAAAATATCTGTGAAGTTCCACACGGATCTGAAATAACTCCAGCGATCTCGGTATATAAGACTACCCACTCGGTAAATAAGCTGCACCACAAAGACAACAAATATCATCTCACTGACAAGGTAAACGAACTGGAGCGGCGTAAAGTATCGGTACAAGCGAAATGAATACATATCAAAACGTGGAAACGCTCCACCGAACGAGGAAAATTCTACTGAAAATATCACTGCTGATAATATGTTAACGTTTACGTTGTAGACAGAAAATTCTAAGAAAACCACCCTTGTTAGGTCATCCACCCACTGATGTGCCTCTAGTGAGTGAAGAAGATCGATTGCCACTGTCAGTTCAGTCCCTAGGTAAGCGATGTACCCACCACCGCCGAACGCACGTCCACTGCGTCCCCATGTCGTGTATGCTGTCTCAGATTCTACCCCACTGAGGTATTTCCACGGAGAAGTGAAAGTTTGGTTTAGTAGAGACATCGTTCCTTTGTTCCACTTATGGCTATAGTTATTAGTGTCTTCATTACGTTCATTTAAGAAAACTGGAGTACACTTTGGAAAGAAATGTTTAACGGAGCCCGCTATGTGGCAGCTTGCTGAAAAAACGAGAGACGGCTTAGTAACGAGAATCAGAAAGACCAACGTTAAAGAAAAGGTGGAGGATGTCTAGAATTGGACTCGATTGTCAATGAAAGCGTACGTTAACTTCGGGAATCAAACGCTAGATATAGTGGGGGAAGGGGGGGAGGGGAGGGGCAGGCGTGTGCTCCCACAATTATATGAGACGTTCCTGCCCCCTTCAATTTTTCAGTGTAACTTCCAAAACTGTTGAAAAGTTATTTAAAGTTTGTAAAATAGAAGCATTTTATTCACGGTAGACCTGGGAAGTATCCCTACTAGCTATCCTTACGGATGGCTCTGATGTACACTTTTGATCTGAGGTAAAGCAGAGGTTATCAATGAACTGTGATTGTCCTTTCTATGTTTTCGATTGTGGACCAAACGTGATGTAGCTCGATTTAAATCCAAATCATTGTGATGTTTTAAAAGAAAGTAACTCACCTCCTGCTTTAATTCTTTTTTGTCGAAGAATTGCAGTCCCTAGCAAGTAATTGTACCCATCGGCAAGGAAATGTCGTCTGCCTTTGCTGAGCGTTCCCTCAAGAGGCTCGCACAGTAGCACTGGAATTGTATAATTTGCAAGCCATTTCCAAAAACTTTTAGTGTTGTTTACCTAAAGAGAAAACATACGATGAAATCAACGCTATTCAATACTAATAACTAGGACAACATACTAATATTGTAGGTAACTCTATTGTAAACAGCTAAGCAAGAACTCAGATGTAGCTTGCATGGCTGGCATAGCTGGCATGGCTGACATGGCTGGCATGGCTGACATGGCTGGCATGGCTGACATGGCTGGCATGGCTGGCATGGCTGGCATGGTTGAGGGATGAAGGACACGACAATGAAAGCGCGAAGGGTGATCTTTGGGAATTCTGATGATCGCTCTCTTAACTCGAACGTCTAATCAGTGATTTAGCCTTGGAGAGTTATGGTTGGGAACCGGTTATTATAAATCGCTTGGGAGGTGGGGGTCGGGGGATTTTGGTTGTGTCACGATAACGTTTGTCTAATTCTCCCATAAGGCTCTGTAATATTGTTATGATCCTCCCTCGTTTGCAATTAATTTACAGTCAATTTTCTATAATCTCCACTTCTCCACTTTAAAGTCTGGTACAATAATAATAATGAATAAATTGGTTAGAGCGCTGGATTGTGTTGTGCGGGAGGTCGAGGGTTCTAGCCCCGGCCGGACGAATACTCATGGTCTGAAAATAAGTGAGGAGAATTTGCTACCTTTCTATAATAAAGAAATGGATAGATATTCTAGTCTTCTCGGAAGGGACGAATAAACCGTAGGCCCCGTCTCTTGGCAGGGTTAGGGATAGGAGACGTTAATTTCCCACGCACGAGATTACTGGGTGGGTGTTGGCCCTGAAAAGCCCTTATTGGGAGTGGTCAATTAGCCTATGTATGTATGTATGTATGTAGGTATGTGGGTAGTAGGTATGTAGGTATGTATGTATGTATGTATGTATGTATGTATGTATGTATGTATTCCACTGAGTGGCTCTTCTTGTCCGTCTGTTAGTTATGACTGATCCCATCTCCGTTGCCCCTGAAAACTGATGTGATCACCCTCCATTAAAAAAAGCCTCCAGTCCCCCCCCAAGCGATATATTAACACAAAACTGGACCCTCAGCTAATTTACATTTCATTTTGAAAACATCATTACCCCACGTGAGAAGCTCCCAGAGATGTTAAAGGAGTGCTCCAGGCCAGCTCTTACAGGATAGGATGAAGAATCCCTGTTTCCAAGGGAAATGAAAATTAAAAGCACTAGAAACAGAATGTTAAAACAAAGCATTTTCAGCACGTCTTCCAATTCCCTGTCCTTCCCAGCGTCCTCCTGCGCTTTTTGTATCTCCTCTTGAGTTGGGGGGCTGGGAACTGGTTCACCATCATTCTCATCGATTTCATCAGCATAATACGTGGTCTCTTGTTCTTCATTGACCCAGACTTTTCCTTCGAGTTCATTTACCAAATCTTCTTTAACTGGCCGTTTATACGAAATTGAAAAAAAAATAGCTTCCACGACTACATATAATGACTCTAGGACAAAAATTTGGCCAATCTTCGCAATTCCAAATGTCACAAGCCACGACTTTGTTAGTGAGGCTGACTATGTAATTCCAATTGCTATGGCAACGACAAATGCTATGAGTGGAACAACAAAGCAATGAATTTGATTTGATTTATTGAAAAGTTCTTTCAATCTCGGTGAAGCCCTCCCATGTGGTTTCATAATGCTTTCGCCATCGACGAGATGTTTTGGAAACGGAAGGCTCATCCATATCTTTGGAATTTGATCGGGATTTGTTAAAGATGTAGTCCAGGTGACTGACTCCGGTCGATTTTCTTCACTTTTATCTCCAGCAGGTGTATCAGATGTCTTAAATTCTTCTGTTACTGAGTTCCAACAACCCTCCTCTAAACCTTCAGAGGAACCATGATCTCTTGCAAACCCGTCATTCAATCTGCCCCGAAAAACATGCGAGTTTTCATCCAAAATCCTAAAAAGGTCTTCATCCTCTGATAAATGCCCAAGAATATCAACCAAATCCTCGAGGTCACGAGCTTTGTTCGAAAATACGTTTCCATAAGATCCTACAACTGATTGATTTTCATAGGGATCCAACGCCAAATGGCAGTTTTCGTCATTGAATTGAATATTTTCTTCGACTCCAGTCTCGCTCTGCAGTTCTTGATAATTGCTAAATTCCAGGTGGATACCACATGTACTATCATCTGAAGTGGTTGTGTTTTCGTTACCCACATCAGAATGAGAATCAGGACATTCATCTTCGTCAGCTTTTATGGTCTCATCTAAAAATATAGTCGAATTTATCTCTTGTAATCTATCTCGAATATATCCTTCTACATTCTTGTCTCCAAGCGCCATTCTAGAGTTTTGTTGTGAATTTAAGAAAAGAATCTGTATCAACAGACGATAAACAAACGCAATTCCACAACAGACGAGAGCTCTCTGTACATCTCCAAGGATTAATTTCCATGGTCCTAATCTGATGAATGAATTACTAAATAATGTCTGTGTTGTATTAACCATCGCTATCGAGACGAGTTTAAATATTCCAGTCACTGCCAGGCAGCACGACATTTTCTGGAATTTGCTAAACGTTTTGCCATTGCTTTTGTAGAGTAGAGAGAGCCAAATATGCTTTTTCTTTAGATTATCGTCAAATTTGCCTTCAAACATAGTTATAAATCCAAGAAGAACCTTTCTTGGTATAGGCTTCAACTTGCATTCAACTTCCTTAGAGCCTGTGCTAACATCTAACCAGCGGTTTGCCTCAAAGTACCATGTAACATTTGTGTTCAAATGGCAAACTATGACACCCTCTAAGAACCACGGAGGATGGGGACCCGAAATGTCATGCCATATATGAATTTCTCGTATTTGATCCAAAGAGCTGTTTAATGTCACCAGGAAGGAACTTGTAGACGAAGGTTGAAACAATGGGCGGTCTGGGTCGCGTAAGATGATAGGTTTTGTCTTGTGGCGGTTACCGTAAATTCGGCAGAACACATTTGCAGTAGTAGAACTGTGCCGACCAGCTCCTGTGTAGAACATAAGCAGGTAATAATGTGGACAGCGGTGAATTGATCTCTGTGGGATGACTGTGACACCACACTGTAAAATAGACAGACAGTTTAAAAGAGATGAAAGAGTTCTTGTCCATTTGTGAAAAATTGAGGAGAAACGGGGGAAGAAAATAATTATTTTTGTTTTTAACTAAGAACAGAATCTCAAACTCTCACAATCTCATTTATCTCACCACCTTTTTTCTGTTGACATGTAGAGGAAAACGAACTAACACACAAACTGAAGGGCATCTCCTTTTGAAATTTTCGCTTCGATATTCGCCCGCTTCATTTTATACAGTGAAGCAAATTGTTCAAAATGTGGACTTTTCCTTTCGTAAGTGGGATGCTGAAGGAATGAAATATAAAGAACATGCTTGCGAGTCAGGGAATGTTTTGGGTTCAAAGGAGAAGATCAGTTTGAAATGCCATCTTATTTTGTTGGTGAAAGATGATTAAAGAAAATTATCGTTCTCTCACTACAATTCTTACTATTTCTTCCTCCTTGCGGTCTTTTTTCCGTGCATAGAGTGTTCCCAGAATAATGAATACCATAGTTGTTGTTACGACCCCAAGGAAAACAAAGATCATTTCATTCTCAGGTTTCTCTGCAGGTGCCTCCAGCTCCACACCTGAAGATTCATTTGTTGTGGTATCCATGACGACGTATTTTGTGTCACTGTTTCGTAAGGTGTGGTAACGTGTAACACTAACTAAAAAACACCATCAATTATCTGTTTGTAGGTATATTTAATTGACCATTCCCGCAATGGGGCCATTCAGAGCCAATACGAACAAATTGAAAACAAACATTGTAACTAAATATCGTATATAAAAATTCCAAATGGTCAGAAGCAGACCAGTGAGCTATCTGGTGAGAAACTCAGCTCCTGAGGTAGTAATTTTCCTCACACCCTTAGGTAGGGGTGTCCTTATCAGAGTAACATACACCAGCAAATTTCGTCCCTTACAAGCTCCTCCTTAATGATTTGTTTTATTCAAAACCTGATCTCCAGTATTTGAGCAGGAGTGTTGCCTCTCACAGCAAAATATGTTTTATGTTTATCCAAAGTTGATAGAAAACGTGGCTAAGTTAAAAAAAAAACAACAACAACAACAACTGAACAAACACAATTTACCCCCTTTGAATTAAGCTTAAAAATTAAAAGAAAGTTTTTTCTTAAACAGGTTGTTCTATTCAAAATTAAATTTTAACTTAATATTGCTAAAGCATAAAAAGTTAT